GGAGGTTTCTTCCGTTAAAGGGAGTTTTTCCTCCCCACTGTCGCCAAGTGCTTGCTCAAGGGGGATTTGTTGGGTTTTCCCTATGTAATAATATTGATAACAGTAAGGTCTAGACCTTACCTTGTAAAGTGTCCTGAGATGACTCTTGTTGTGATTTGGCACTATACAAATAAAATTTGATTTTGATTTTGATTTGAAGAAATCACTGACTGATATGTGCTTTTAAAAAGAAACTGTACCCAGAACTGGTATGGTGTGCTACATACTGTATATATCATTGTTGTGACCATAGCCTGATGTTATAAAGACAGTAAATAGCATAGTTATAGCTTTATGATCACATTATCATTATCATATCATTTGTCTCCCTGCAGCTATAAAAAGTTGCCTTGTCATAGCAGTTTGTGTATAGTAACCAGTTTGTTTCTCTTTTGTGTCATCCCCAGACATACGAGCGCCAGTTCAGAATGCCTGAGCAGAGAGAGGGAGGCCTGCTGCAACTACTGGGAGATCCTGCTCCATCCAAACACCAGCTTCGCAGCTCCCTTCTTCCTGCACATGCACTCTCACACACAGAGCAAACACAGCACACCCTCACGCAACAATTCCAGCACCCTCACACACACCAACACCAAATCAATCCGGACTGGATCACGTCTACAGCACCCTGTGTGTCCCCAGCCAATTTTGCCGATTCTGAACCAGCCAGAGAACTGGCAGGGGCCAGTAGGAGCTCTTTGCTCGATTCAACCCAACCTTTTTCACGAACGGTGACACGAAGCCCCTCACCTCAGAGATCTCTGACTCCAGACCTGCAGTTACCAGTGGTTACAGATGCCAGTATTCTCAACCTGACCTCTCTCAGCAGGTATGGTTAGGTCCATGTGTGGTGGATCTTATAATGAGCCAAACATCATCATTAGGTCAAATACTGTATACTGTTAACTGGAGATGAGAAAAAGTCATTGCTATATTGTGATATTTTGTAAAGCAATATAATTATTTTTTATCACAGTGTATGTTTTTTTTTTATTTGACAATCAAATTTATTACAGTATTGAAAATTGAAAGTGAAAACATCTCATTTGATAAAACAATTGTGACACAATTATAATTCAAAATAGATAATTGCAGTATACATTTTACTGTATAACAAATTTTTTGAAAATAACCGAGCCAGGGCTCAACTGATATGATAATATTATATCAAATGGTCATACTGGTATTGACTGTATAATACTGGTGAAATTCTTCTAATTTTTTTCTGTATACATCTCTCCAGGGGGAGGGGTTTGCAAGAGGTCAGTGAACAGCTCTTTGGGAACATCAAGAGGAAGTATGGCAGGAAGGATTCCCACAGGGCGCTTTGTAATCCCCATAGTGCTGATACACCTTGGGGAAGACAGTCAGACAAAGGACTGGAGAGCCCAACTAATTCAGAGGAGAGACATAAGTACAGCCAAGAGGAGCCAGCTGAGCGGCTCCATGAAGAAAGAGAGGAAAGGAGAAGAGAGGAAAGAGATCGAGTCATTTCTGGGAGAAGAGCAGATGAAGAAGACAGAGGGATGTTAATGGTGACAGAGGAAGGGAAAGGAAGAAAGAGGCGGAGGAGGCCTTCTTTTGATGAGTCATTTTCTGTAGGGGAGCAATCACAGCAGCAGCAGGACTCTGACACTACAGAGAAGCACCACCCTTGGCCTCCAGAACCCAAAGCAGCACATAAGGTGGAGAATCACAAAAATGATTCTCGGCTCACAAGTCACGCTGATATCAATGGAGAGAGGACAGAAAAGGCAGAAAGAGCAGATAAAGGTGATAAAAGAGAAAAGGGAGAGAGGGTAGACAGAGCAGAAAGAGGAGAGATATTTACAAATGGGTCTGACCCAGAGTCAGCTCTGAGTACAAACAAAATGAAAAAGAACCTTGTGGGTCGCCCTAAAATCAGCACCGACACTCTTAAACACAAAGCGCCTACTCATAATCATATCAACAAACCCAGTCTTATCACGAACCCCAGATTCCCTAGCCCAAACCCCAGCCCCAGGGGAAGCATCAGCCCCAGCACTAGCCCTAAACCCAGAGCTAACATTAGCCCCAGTCCCAGCCCTAGAACCGGGTTGGCCCTGAGTCCTAGCCCCAGCCACAGCACCAGCTCCACAGCTAGTTCCAGAGCAACCAAGGCCAAGGACAGGTGGTCCTACTTGAAAGCTAAAAGCCATGCCAGTCTCACGCCACTCCAGAGAGACAGCCGGAGCAGCCCCTCAACCCTAACTGACCCACCTTCAGCCTTCCCCATCACCCCCTCAAGCCCTCTCTATATCAACACCGACAGCCTGACTGTCCACACACCAATTAAGAGGAAACGAGGACGCCCCAAGAAACAGCCACTCCTCACAGTGGAGACCATCCACGAGGGCACCTCTACCTCACCTCCAAGCCCACTGGCACAGGAAAACTCTGCCACCCGCAGGAGGAAGACACATACACTGAACACATTAGTGCAAATGACTTCTACAACCACCAGCATCAGTTGTAACAGTCTGAAACTAAAGCGTGGCCATTCCAGGCCAGTAAATAAGATGAAGCTTGGGAAAATGCAGAGCATTCTGAATGAGATCCTTTCAGGTTCCAGTCAGAATGGCTCTTTGTCTCTGAAGTCATCTTCTGCCCCTGTTACCTCAGCTATGAGTGCCATGGCATCCACCATTGAGGCTCGGCTGGGAAAACAGATAAATGTCAGCAAGAGAGGAACTATCTACATTGGTAAGAAGAGAGGGCGCAAACCCAGAGCAGAAAACCAAACCTCCAACCCTCCCAAAACCACTAGGGACAAGCCCCTCATGTCTGTCTCTACATCCAGTTTCTATGAAAGCCCTGTAGTGCCTTCCACCACCTCGTCCCCCAGCTCCACTGCTCCATCCATAAGAGCCAGCCACTCTGATGCCACTATGCCTAGTTTGCAACCCATCTCAGCTCTGCCCTCCAAGCCACCAGGCAGGAGCTTTCTCTCCGGGGGATGGAAACTGTCTCCTCCGCGCCTTCTGGCTAATTCACCTTCCCACCTGTCTGAGGGAGCATCAGTGAAAGAGGTGACCCTATCCCCCATCAGTGAGTCCCACAGTGAGGAGACTATTCCCAGTGACAGTGGGATTGGCACAGACAACAACAGCACCTCAGATCAAACGGAGAAGGGCCCCGCATCTCGACGCAGGTGCTCTTCATTACTTTTTATGAACCTTGATTTATAGGCTTTGTTGTTTCATATTTCAGACTGACATATTCCTAAAGGTGATGGTTTTAATGTGATTTTATGTTGTGTTTATACAGGTACTCTTTCGATCTGTGTGGGTTTGAGGCTGCAGAAGCAGCAGCTCTGGATGCATCGAACAGGAGTGCTAGAACACACTGTGAACGGCAAGTAACTGCTGTTGACAACTTTCTGTCACAGCAAGAAAAGAAGCAAAAACATCATCGGAGGAAGAGGAAGTGCCTACAGAGTCGAGATCATCTTCATTTCCTCTCTGACCTGGAAGAGGTTAGAGACACTATAATAATTTTGTGTATAATTTTTGACCAAGTACTGTAATGTGTAAGTGCATACTATATGTTTTGCACACAAATATATATATATAAATAAAGTATTTTTTCTTTTCACTCTCCCTGTAGGTTGTGTTAAAACTTCAGCAGCTACGAGTGTCTCACAGACGATACACCTGCTACCCGCAGCACCCATATCCCTCCATTTTTCGCCTCAACTTCCATCATTACTACCCTGTTACCTATGACTCCTACGCCTGTGACTCCAGCTCATACCTCCGCAGGAGTGCCGACCTGAAGGCTAAGAGGAGACGTGGCCGTCCAGCTAAAGCCAGTGAGCCAATCACATCGAAGCTGCCTTTTGTTCAAGGATATGGCTATCCGCTGGCTGGGGGGAATTACTATGCAGCACCGTATGCGATGCCTTACGCACCTCCCCTGAGTCTTGGCTACTTTCCCCCTGCGCCTCCATTTTACCTGCCCCACCACACGATAGGACCTGCCCCTCCATCTCCTTTCATGAGACCTGCTGTCCCCCCTCCCAAGGCTTTCCATGCCACTGGACACTCAAAGCTCCAGCCAGGGGCCAAGCTTCGCAGCGCTAGTGGCCTGCTCCAGGGGCCCTCTGTAAGAGGAGATGGTCTGGGGTCCTTGGGCAGTGGCAGCGCAGGTGGTCTTGCAGGGGTTCGCCTCCATAAGAGGAAGCACAAGCACAAACATAAGCACAAGGATGAACCCCTCCTTTCACCTCGAGACCGGCGGGAACTGGGTGGGCTCTTCAGTGGAGCTAAGACAAACACTCGCCTCAGCATGCTGAGCGACAGGAGGGACTTGGCCAGCCAGGCCTCTTCAAAGCATCTGGAGAAGCAGAGAACCAGTGGTAGAAGTACAAGCTTGGGATCCAGTTTAGGGATGTTTGAGTCAGACCAGCTGTCTACACACTCTCTTACTGACAGCCAGTTTCACTCCCGTCAGAGTGGGCAGCCAGTAAACAGCTTCATGAACAGCTACAGTAACCAGTCGCAGAGGTCGGACTCAGCTTCCGACCTTTTTTCGGGGTCACGGGAGGATGAGTGTGGTGGGAGGAGCAGGAAGATGAGACTGACTGTGTTTGGAGATCAGAGCTTAATGTCATTCCAAGCTGCCAGGCAGAAGCCAGGGCAGGTGGGCAAGTGCTCCAGTCCCTCCCTCACTGGTAAGAACTTCTTACATTAAGATGTCCTGTTCACTTTTAACACCACAGTGTGTTCACAAGGGAGTTCACTGACCTTTAACCATGATAAGAAACCACAACAGCAGGTATAGTTTGTCTTTTGACAGCAGCAGCATGGTTAATGCATTGCTTACTTTGATGATGTGTTGGACGTTTGAGGTTTGTCCAGAATGCAGGAACTGATTGTTGCTAGCTTGTCTTTATTTAACCAGTTCCCTGATGGCTGGACTTCCCGTAGCTACTTCACAGTAAAAGCCATCCATGATGTAAAATGTTTTGACATGAAGCATCAGCAGTAAATGTCCAGCTGGCATTAACAGCAAGGGACCTCAGTATAGATCCTGTTGTACAGCAAAAGAAAGCAGATCATAAAACAGTGAGACTCCTGAGAAAAGTAGAAATAGGAATGTTTATTAAACGAAAACTAAGACTGACGTGACTTCTGCTGTACACTGGAGAAAAAATAAAAACAAATAAACACAGGTAGTGCTTTTAAAATGAGACCTTCTTTTTTGTCACCTTTGGCATAGCTTGGATGAAGATTGCACCTCCAGTGCTCCCTGCTGTGAGGGAACACTGGAGGGGCTTACTGTACAGTAAAGCACAAGATGTGATCCTACACCAAAGCAGTGGGGAAAAAGGCATACATAGTTATAAACATTATAACCCTGACCTGCCAAGGCTGCAGAAGTGGTAACATAGTTAGCTTGTTATTTTCTGATATTGGAGACTTAATTGTATAGTCAGTTAACAGGGCTTTTTCCATTTTAAATCTGGATGGCAACATATTCATCAAGGTGATTCCTATTTATGAATGTGCTACATACAGCATTATTAGACTGAAATCAGAAAAACAGGCAGGCCAGACTCACTACTAAACTAATATGCATTTTGGTACATTTTGTGTTCTGAGGATAGCGAGAATGTAATACACGGATGGAGATGACTATAATTCATCAATCTCTCCTTCCTTCCTTCCCAACGTCCCTTCTCTCTTGCCAATGCCTTTGCTAGAGATATATTATTCACACAGTGTGATTTATTTTCTACAGACATGCCATAAAAGGCCCTTGCCTGTGTTAAAAGAGCTGGCTGGCAGCCAGGGGTTTAATGACTGGGGCCTAGTCCAGTGGCAGGGAGGAGAAGCCAGGGGCTCAGTTAGAATACACCCCCCACCCCAGGGGATCCAGGACGGATGACTCATATACACGTTATCCCCTTGCCTCCCCACCCCCACCTACACACAACCCCCTTCCAGTATTTTCTACCTTCCGTGTCCTTCCCTTTCCATCCTGTGCTACTTCTGCAGGTCTTGCCCTTGCTTTCTTCCTGTACCTTTCTCCCTTACTCCCCACATCCATATTTCCCCTTGTTCCTCAATCTCTTCCTCCCCCTTCCCCTTCCATCTCTCTTTCCTTCTTCTCTTTCTTTCTGCATTTTCCCTCGTTTCCCCTCCCCCTCGTTCCCCCTTTACCCCTTTACCCCTTGTTCTCCCCCTTCCCTCCGCCCCTCTTCTAGCATGACTTATTGCTTCACTTCACAGCTTTAGCCCAATTAAAACTGTGGCGTGTGTGCATATGCACACATGCCGCACAACCATATGAGTATGCATGCACGTGCAGGAATAAACTCACTCTGATACACACACATACATATCCACAGGTTCGTCCTTATCCACAAGGTGATACAGTTGCAAATTTGCTATTATTAGAGCATGGAAGTGACTTTTTAAATGGTTCTTTAATAGAACTACGTTATAGTGATTCCTCTCTAATCAGCAAGTCTCTCTGCAGCTAACAGCAATTTCTCATGAGCATATTTGCATAAAAGCAGGCCATCCTCTACTGAATCAATGAGAATTACTCTCTTTGAATTACATGACTTGTTGAAACACACGCACTTCTATTCAGAGAAACACTCACTAAATAATATACATCAAGGATCATTTTACCTTGTGTGAAACCTGGTCTCAGTCATTGCAGGGGCAGTGGAGAAGTGAGCATGTACAGTGGGTACGGAAAGTATTCAGACCGCCTTAAATTTTTCACTCTTTGTTATATTGCAGCCATATGCTAAAATCATTTAAGTTCATTTTTTTCCTCATTAATGTACACACAGCACCCCATATTGACCGAAAAACACAGAATTTTTGACATTTTTGCAGATTTATTAAAAAAGAAAAACTGAAATATCACATGGTCATAAGTATTCAGACCCTTTGCTCAGTATTTAGTAGAAGCACCCTTTTGAGCTAATACAGCCATGAGTCTTTTTGGGAATGATGCAACAAGTTTTTCACACCTGCATTTGGGGATCCTCTGCCATTCCTCCTTGCAGATCCTCTCCAGTTCTGTCAGGTTGGATGGTAAACATTGGTTGACATTTTCAGGTCTCTCCAGAGATGCTCAATTGGGTTTAAGTCAGGGCTCTGGCTGGACCATTCAAGAACAGTCACGGAGTTATTGTGAAGCCGCTCCTTCGTTATTTTAGCTGTGTGCTTAGGGTCATCGTCATGTTGGAAGGTGAACCTTCGGCCCAGTCTGAGGTCCTGAGCACTCTGGAGAAGGTTTTCGTCCAGGATACAGTGCCTTGCGAAAGTATTCGGCCCCCTTGAACTTTGCGACCTTTTGCCACATTTCAGGCTTCAAACATAAAGATATAAAACTGTAATTTTTTGTGAAGAATCAACAACAAGTGGGACACAATCATGAAGTGGAACAAAATTTATTGGATATTTCAAACTTTTTTAACAAATAAGGGGGGCTGCAGTGATGGTTGACTTTCTACAACTTTCTCCCATCTCCCGACTGCATCTCTGGAGCTCAGCCACAGTCATCTTTGGGTTCTTCTGTACCTCTCTCACCAAGGCTCTTCTCCCCTGATAGCTCAGTTTGGCCGGACGGCCAGCTCTAGGAAGGGTTCTGGTCGTCCCAAACGTTTTCCATTTAAGGATTATGGAGGCCACTGTGCTCTTAGGAACCTTAAGTGCAGCAGAAATTTTTTTGTAACCTTGGCCAGATCTGTGCCTTGCCACAATTCTGTCTCTGAGCTCTTCAGGCAGTTCCTTTGACCTCATGATTCTCATTTGCTCTGACATGCACTGTGAGCTGTAGGGTCTTATGTAGACAGGTGTGTGGCTTTCCTAATCACATCCAATCAGTATAATCAAACACAGTTGGACTCAAATGAAGGTGTAGAACCATCTCAGGGATGATCAGAAGAAATGGACAGCACCTAAGTTAAATATATGAGTGTCACAGCAAAGGGTCTGAATACTTATGACCATGTGATATTTCAGTTTTTCTTTTTTAATAAATCTACAAAAATGTCAAAAATTCTGTGTTTTTCTGTCAATATGGGGTGCTGTGTGTACATTAATGAGGGAAAAAATGAACTTAAATGATTTTAGCATATGGCTGCATTATAACAAAGAGTGAAAAATTTAAAGGGGTCTGAATACTTTTTGTACCCACAGTATATCTGAGTTGTAGTGACTTCCCATTCCACAGAGAAACAGGTCCTCAGTGCTGTATGGGCCCTCACACCGCTGAAGGTCACAGGTTTTATGTTCCGTGTATGCAGCTCATAAATTTCTGCTACTTTGTTGTGTGTGTGCGTGTCTGTTTGAACTGAGTGTGTGCACACTTCTGTGCAGCTCATAAACTACTGCCACTTAGTGATTTCTGCATTAGACTAATTTAACTGATTACCCTGAATTCTTCCTTGGAGTTTTAAAGGCAGGGCGGTCAGGCCTCACTTCATCTTCCCTCACGCTTAGCACATTAGCAAAAAAACTCACTGTGGACTCTACACTCTTAAATGCTTACTTTCCATTTAACTTTTACATTTAGTTCCTTTAAATGCTGAAAAAACATTGTATGACAGTATCACTGATATTCATATCTGCTTGTTGCAACACTTCATTGAAGCTATATGAAGCTTTAAAACACAGTAGTGACATACTGCCATGCTTTATAAAATAAATAGACTAAGTGCATCTATTTTTACACACTTGTCTGCAATCCAACACGTCGTATTTGGTGCAAGAAAACTGAAAGTTTTTTCTTTAATGCAGTCATCATGTGTTAGAGCACTGCAGAAACCTGCTACACTGTATCAGCAGGATTCTGGAGGAAAATAAGAAAGGAGATTGTTAGGAAATCCAGGAATAGTAGAAGCTTAAGAAAAAGAGACCAGGCATGTTGTATTCACACTGCTTGGGGACTGGTGGCTGATTGTGCTTTTCCTCCATTTTGGCTGTGGCTCAGTCTCAGCCCTGGGAACAGTGCCCAGACACAGAGGAGGGGGGAGCTGAGAAATGGGACAGAGATGGGAAACAAAAAGAATAACAGAGACGGACCAATGCTGGGAAGCAGTTTCTGAAATAGAGAAGGAAATGAAATGGTGCAGTGTTACCAGTTTAATTGAAAATTAGACAGTGGCATATCACTGCCCATAAAGAGAAGAGTGGAAAAGAGAAGTAGAGTAACCGGTAACATGGGAAAGAGAACGGATAGAACAGTGTGTACAGGGCATACAGCCCAGTTCACCAGTCTGAAAGAAAGAATATGGTTCTAGTTTCTTCTGCTCAGCCACTCTGAACTGCTGAATTCATTATTCATGCATGTTGAGCATGTGAGTGAATGCATATGTGTGTTTTTGTATTTGTGTCTGTGTGAATATCTGCATGTGCATAAATGTGTCTGTGTGTGTGTTTGGCTTTTTGGCAGCCCGTGCTCCAGATGCACAGGGTTATTACTGTGTAGCGACATTAAATGGTTGAAGGAGACATTTCTGTGGGTTTCCTGCTAGCAGAATGGGATCTCCTCCTTTTCCCTCTCCTCTCTGCTCTCTAGTAGACAATTACAGGATAAGATGTGCTCTCCTGGCTCAGCTGGGCTTTGAAAGACTTAGATGAATATGTCAAAATTAGCAGGAAGCTCTTGATGCAAAAAAAGACATTCTCTCCATGAGCTAAATTGGCATGATGTCTTTCCTGGCCTTTCCATGGCTGCTCATTTTGAGTGATAACTTGGCATGAAAATGCCTTTCTCTTTATAGACCTTGCTCCGCTATTTATTTGCCATGTGATAGCTCACCTCACTCATGCTCAGTCTCTCCTCTCCCAGGTGTTCCCTGTAAGCGGAGGTATAAACGTCGTGAGGTGGAACAGATCCAGAAGGATGTTAGGAGGATGCATTCCTTGAACTTTGAGCATGTGCAGAAGATTCTTCGTGCCAAGCGCCTGCAGCGACAAGCCAAAACAGGAAACAATGTCATCAAAAGACGGCCCGGACGGCCACGAAAGCAACCCCTGGAGGAATCAGAGCTGACAAGTGGCAGGGAAGAAGAACATTCTGGTGGTCAGGGTTTGGACATGTTGGCCAGTAGGAGAGGTGATGTGAGGACTCTGGGAATGCCTGTCTTGGAGAGGTGTGATGACCTGCCAGGTAGGCAGAGCCTCAGGCCAGGTTTGACCCCCAAGCCTCTGGAGTTCTCCAGTCATGATTCTGTCTCAGCAACAATTGAGACCGTGGTGCATCAAGCAAAGTCAGTGCCTCCCCTGGCCAAAGGGGGGAGACGAAGAGGCAGGGGCCACAGCAGGGATGAATTATGGGCTCCTTCCAGTCAGTAGACCTGCAGGAGAGAATAACTCCATAACCGAACTGAGGATAGTCAATGGAGTCAGTGCTGTTTCGTTTCAAGCGTATCAGATGCAGTGCCCTTAGTTTTGGGACTCCTCAATGCACTTTGAATTGTTTCTTCTCTCTGATTTGTTGTGAGGACTGCAGAAGGTCAGTGGAGGAGCACGGGATGGGAACACTTGTGGTGCTATCCCTCCATTTGCTAAACCTTACCAGACATGAGCCTTTTAAGGATTCATTGGACCTTCATTGACAATAGCACTATATGGTACTATTTGATACTGAATCTGATGCTATATAAGTGTGTGGTACTTATGATAGTATAGGATATTGTGTGATTCTTTATGTATCTGATACAGTGATGTGTATGGTACTTTATGATACTGTATCTTAATGTGGCTTTAGCCATATATTTACCAGCAAGGGGAGGGGGACTGGTTAATATAAAACTGTGCAGCTCTGCTTATTTTTGCCTTTCTGAGGAAGCTTGTCAAAGATGTGTGGGATAAAACAGCAGTAATCAATCCACCTTACCTTATTACTGATCCCTGTGTTTGTATGTATTGTCCTTGTTTTCTCAGAGAAGTACAGTAACTGACACCTGCCAGCTCATTGCCCCTGGTCCCCCTCCCTGCTCAATACTCTCCCCAGTTCTTTAGCCCTCCCTGGTGCCTGCCGCTCATGTCCCTTTGTGATCTCATCTACTCCTAGTCATGTTTAACATTTCCCATTGCTTGTGCTCCCCCAACCTACCCCAGGTCTCATTTATTACTCCCTCCCTGCTCAGGCCTTTTCTGGGCAGTGACATAAAGGCAATATGGTGGATGAGACTGTCCCAGCCTGTACATAGAAACAAAGTCCACTGTTGCCTGCCTTGTACAATGGGAAACCAGCTCATAGACATGCACTGGCATACAGTATATCAAATAGAATTGTTGTACCATAGACAATGAAAGTTGTGTATTGTTTTATAACCAAAAACAGGTGTGGGTGTGACTCAAAACGAAATTGTTTTCAGACAGAAAGAACTGCATGTATTCATTCATAAACTCATTATTGTGTTAAAATTCAGGGGGCATTGCATACAGGAAAAATATCAGGTGTGTTTTTTGGTAAACCTTAAAATTGGTTTTAATGCACTATGAAAAACCATACATTTGCATCAATCAAATGCAGCACTTACATGCTTATTCAAGCCTTATGTTTTAGTGTTCGATGGTGTGGATAGCCATTCCAGAGAGCATGCATTATTTTAATCAATTTGTATATGCAGGCTGCGCAGCCAAAAGCGTCGAACCGAAGCCCCGCTCTGAATCGTGATTGGACAGTTCAGTAGAAGAGGGCTCACATTCAGTGTTTTTAAAAGCTAAGCCCAGTCTTTCTACTTAACGTGACTTTCAAACCATATATTTGGAAATATTTTTGGAACGTAAACCCAGTATTTAGATTTAAAAACCAAAGTCTCAGTATTAAATGTAAGGATGTTTTGTTTAAAAAATTGAAATCAGAGTTTGATCAACTCTCTACTGCGTTGGCATCAATGTAAAACATTCCTACGTGCACTCTAGAATGTAGCCATCTTGGATTTTTTTGTGTCAATATGTTAACTCTCTTTATAGTATCTGCAGCTTTGGGTAGTGGTTGGTTTTCAAATAAGTGTTTCAAAATATAACCAATGGATCAGTGTTTTGTTTTTTGGCAACTATTAAAGTTATGTTTCAGGAGTTTTCTGTTGGCGGGGTGGGATTATCAGTAACAGCAGTTCAACTTGTGCCTTATGTTTCTTTCTCTCAACAGTTACATTTGACCTGAGAAATATCAAAGAGTGCCCCAGAAATTGACCCAAAAGATTCATGATTGTGCATATGACGCATGTCTTAGTCATCAGAACCTTTACACTGCCCGTGTCCCTTCACAATTTCCACAGTCAGCATCCTCTGTCACTGGCTGCTGAGTCAGTCTCTCAGCTTCCTGCTGGTTTTCTGACCGATATCATCATAACAGCACTAGAAGGGCTGAACTGAAGAAGATGACATGATATTACTGTATCACATTCACATCATGCCCTGGCCTCAGTACTGCTTTACAGCAGTGAGGGCCCACTGTGTCTGATGTGTTTCTATCCAACAGTATTGATTGTACTCAATGTCCTAGATATATCATTAAAGATCACTTACTCTGCCTAGCCTATAACCAGTTATTTACAACATGCAACTGGCTATATACAGAGGAGGTTGTCATGGAAACCACATTCTCCTACAGTGTTGTTTGCTATGCATCAGGCCACGCCTGGCAATGACCTTAAAAGGAATTTCTGTTCTGGGTCCACCCTTTGACAAAGAGAAATAAGTGGTCTTATTTACTGAATAAAATGAATTCATGTAACAAGAGTTGTGAATAATACCAGTAATAATTTGTAATAAGTTGTGCAGAAAGTGACTATCATTTCATGAAAACTATAGTTACTGCAACTCTATGCAGTACAGCCTTAACCAGATGTAAAACTACAGTACTGAAGTGTTTGTTGTAAATAGTGTTAGTATGTCCATCCTGCATGGATTCTGGGCTCGGCTATGCTGGGACTGTCTCCTAAAACCATAGTAGACCTCTCTCTGCTCAAGACTGCTCAAGATCCAAATACACTAATTGAGTTTCCTGTCTAACAAATTCTGCTGTATATTTACAGTCATTGCTCCAGTACGTTAAATTACACAGAATGCTAAAATGATCTGCCTTTACAGGTTCTCGGAGGATACAAGCCCCACTGTAGTGTGCTCAACCAAAAGCCAGGAATCCCTGCTGACTTGCAGCTATTTTGCCTGCAGACAATTGAGGCAGTGTAGTAGAGTAAGCAAGAGGGGTATGTGCGCGTGTGGGGGGGAATTCTCAGAGGAAATAGCCAAAAATACACATTCGCTTCCTTAACCCTGCTTTGCTAGATGACTTTTTGTGGGTCTGCAGTCTGTTGTGGTGAAGATGAGGTCTAGATGTGGTCTGTGAGGTGTAGAGACTACACACTTGACAGCTTACTCCGCCATACTGTGGTCAGTCAGTGGTCTCTGACGTAAGAGTTAAAGACCCCAGGTGCTGTCAGTCCTGTCTGTCTCTCCTATCAGCCACTGCTCTAATGCCTTCTAACACTGACAAATATTGTCCTAATCCAGAGCTTTCACTCTACACAGGGACTGCAGAGGAGATGTGGCTGTGAATAGGGTTCAAGATCAGTATTGTTGCATTTAGCAGCCAATCTGGACCAGTGGCAACAGGAGGCCCCTAAACACTGATGTAAGGATCTTTCAACTTGTCTTTGGTCCTAGCATCAATGGCAGCGCAGCAGTGTCCGATCTCAAATCAGTGGTTGGGGTGGTAGTTCACTACAGTAACAAGGATGGGATATAATGGCACCTAAATTTTGATCACTCCCCATTCCCTATGTAGCATGCTGAGATGAGTGTCCTACAAACAGAGTGAGGGGTCAAGTGAGACAGAGCCTCATAAATGTACAGTTCTAAGCTATAACGTTGTTCAAAGCTGAAAGTGCAGCATCAAGAAAACCAATAAATGTACTTCTTTCGAGCACAAAGTGAGCTCTTCTAACAGTGTGGGCATATTTTAGTTTGTATACATAGTGTATTTGAACCTTTTTCTAGAGTGGGTTTCCTTTATTTGCATGCTCAACTTGATTGTATGCATAAATATTTTAGACAAGATGAAAGTTGAATTTCAATTGAACTTGGAGCAAGACTTGTACATTGTTTGATATGTTTCTTTTTGTAATGAATTTTTTAATTCATGAAGCATTTTTGTACATTGTATGAATATTAAAAACTGCAAATATTTGACCTATAGAGTAAATACTAGATGCGCATGCATATGCATATATCCTTCACAGTATGTATGTGTAAATGTACACATATATTTTGTATTTGCATTTGCTGACATACAGATATATGTCTTAAGCACATATATACATGCAATGTATATGTATATCCATGTCCGCTGGCATGCTTTTGGTCATGTTTATCTTCCATGATCTTGTAGGTTCATTTTTTGTTTTTTAATTTCTCTTTCTTCAGAAAGAAAAGCTCATTCTTTTGCTACCCTTCTTTTGGCTGGCAGCATTGAGCACTTATTAAGAAGAACTACAGTTGAAGTTGTTCATGTTATCCATTGTGTGAAATAATAAATGACTTTATTGACATCTGATGGTGACACTTGTTTTCTTTTTCTGCAAAAAACTGTACCAGATTTAATGCTCTGACCTCCTAAAACTGCTTTGTCACATGCCGAGACCAGGCTGATTAAGTTATTTTGAGATAAGAGCCAGTTGGGACTTTGCATGTGTGTGTTTATGTGTGCACAATGTACATGTGAAAGTGTGTGGGAGCGAGATGACAGGAGGACTCGCTACATTGTTGGTGCTGAATATCAGATGGTCTCACTGAGTGAGTACTACTCCACAATGTGTCTGCTGGTTGTAGTTAAAAGAGAGGGAACCCTCCTATCAGATTATGCTACAACCTTGCTCAGTCACACTCGTACACACTCACACACACATACCTTCACGCTCTTACCCTCTTACTTTTTCATTAGCCAAGCTTATATCTCTAAATTCTCTCTGCACCAGCCCATCAATGTCAGCTCTAGGTGGGCCGGGCTGCAGGCTGCTCTGTTATTGGATGGAGCTGAGTGGGAAGTGCCCCACTATTGGTTGCTGCCAACTAGTAAAATTCTTCTGTTACCATGGTTGCAGGGTGAGCTGCCCAAATGTGTTTCAGTGTATCTAGTGGTGCTGATGGAACTGTTGGCACCACCGGTGTGCAGAAAAAAAAATCCCCCCTCTGATGGAAGTGAGGGCTGCAGTGGGAGTGCACCCAAATTGTTCTCAACCGATGCCTGTAAATGAACCCACATGGTCCTACTCAACCTCCTGTGGAAGAGAGGATGAGATAGATCACCAGGGCTGTGATCATAGTGAAACAGCACATTGAATCACACCTTGCATGAAAGATGTGCTGTTGAGCCAGTGCTACACTTAAAGGGGGAAAACCAGAATCACCAGTCTGATGTGCAATGCAGGCATTTTCTCACTACTTTGGTGCCATATTTAGTTCCCTCAAGACAGTGTTGTCCACTGCACAAGCTGTGGGTACAAAGATTGCAAAGAAACATATGACATACAACACCATCACTGAGAAGATGAAAGATGGTGATGATGAAAGATCCACACCAGGAATGAACTAATAATAATGCCAGTGGCAGCATTTAACAAACAAAGGGACTGTGTCAGTGATAAATGGGGAAATTCTGTCCATATTAAAAGGTACATGAAATATATACAATATAAAACACATTCATAAGTGAAGTTTATTACAGAAACAATTACTATTCCATTTTTTATTAAAATATGAAAGTAGAACTGACAGTATTTCACCTGGTCAGTAGGTGGAGCTCCCTATACTGAGAAAAGAATGCCTTAGAAATGGATTCAATTTAAACTGTTACAGGTATTGTTTCATCTTCTTTGCTTGTTTCTCCACAAAAATATGCAAATCCTTTCAAAACCTTTAAGCTTTATATAGCAATATTATGAAATTTTATAAACCTGATCTGCTGTGACAAGTGTGCATAGCAGAAATATAGTTAAAAAACAAATATTTGAAGAGCTGAATCAGTGTTACGATGTGGTCTCAGGTGGTAGAGACTGTAATGGAAATGCAGTGGAGGACTGTACTCAGACAGTCTCGTAGGAGGACGGGGTTTATAAATTATGATGCTTAGCTGGGACCTGTAGGGTTCCTGTTCTCAAACTTAAACAACCTTCTTTTAAAGGAAAGTGTTCCAAACATTTGGGAGGATCCTTCCTCCCATTCTTTGTGGACCACCTTCAGCTGCAAAGGAGGATCAGTTTATCAGTTCACATATAAGGTTATGTATCATCCAAGATGAGCAGTCACATTTCTTGTTCTCAGTGCACACCTGACACATGGTGACATTTTTGAAGAGGTGCATGTCAGCGACGGGACCGCAATAATATAGTGTTACCAGTTGTAAACTGCCCAAAATATTGAACTCCTCTGAATTCATTATAGAATGCTTAACACCCGAGCTGGCTAGTGAACTGAATTCTGTTGACTTGGATTGCTTGATAAGCCCAGAATACATTGCTGCCATATTGTCAAAGTGATGAGTAGCTTACAGGATGTTTATAGTTGACCTGTCTGCTGACAATAATTCTTGCTTCACAGGAACTCTTTATGGGTATGCACCAGTGAATCACTGGAAAAAGCAAGTCACTAGCATTTTTATCTACATTTATAGATTATCAACTGCGATATAAGTTTAACTCTTTGTTGATTTTGGCATTTTTTTGTTTGTCTACTGCTGTTCCATTACAAGCTGTGCCGTTGCTGTTTCACACCTGACATAATGAATGCTGTATGTTCTTGATAATGTTTAGAATCTGAGCTGAGAACACTTATGGATATATGTCTGATTAAAAGCTATGAGAAACACAGTAAAGTTTTGCTCTGCTGTATAGCTAGGAACCAGCAAGAGGCAGTAGTACTGAACAAAAGGATGTTCAACAGCCAAAAATATGAGTTCTTTCTGGTGGAAGTGACTTTGAAGGAGCTTTGAAGTGTATCGTAGATGGAGTGGGCAGGCCTTTGGTGATTATACTCTCAAATTGTTGATTCGTCCTTTCACATTCTGCCCACTTGCTCAAACCTGCATAAATCAGCATTTTACCACAGTATATGTCCTGGTGGCACAGTCTGGAGGACAAATGGAGTTTGTGGAAATAAATCAGACAGCATTTTTTTAACCAATTTCATTAACTATTTCCATTCAGAGTCCTAGCACTGATGATATTCTGCATGAGTGAATGTGAGCGAGTATCAGTGACTCTGTGAGGCCTGTCCAAAGCCACAGACGCCACCAGCAACAGACAAAGCTGTAAATTTACCACAAATAGTCCTGCAGTCCCGACCAGCTAACCAGGAAGCCTGACTGTAACCAAGCATCTATTCAACTTATCTTTGTTGTTGTTACAGAGGATGACTGTAGTTTGTGTTTATGAAGAAGGACAGAGCAGGCAACATCTAAATGCACCCCCACCTCTCTCTGTCTCCATTGCACAGTGATTGGAGACACCATCTGGTGGTGAATTGTATCAGTGCAAGGCCATCATGTCACGTCCACCCAGAAAGCATTGCTGGCTCACTGTGGTTAAAGCAGGAAATATGACAGGTACACACATGCCATTTAAGAATAAGGAAGAAAAAGTACTGTTTTTTTAAGGTGTGATTGAAAAAAATTAGAACTTTGGCCTCAAGCCATCAAACATGCACACCTCAATGCTTTATTCAGTGATCCACTTGAGTGATCAGTGCAGGAAATACTGTAGCTGAAAGTTGGTCATGTCTGTGTACAGTGCAAAGAAAAATCACCAGAGCTATGACAGAATGCGTTGTGTGTGCAGGGAGCTGACCACTGTTGCCACGGTGACAGTGTGACTCAGCAGTTGAATTTGGATTTATAGCATGTCTTCTTTTGTGCACCTGTGTGTGTATAAACATGAAAATGTGCCTATACATACACACACATATATATACATATATGTTAATTTGCTAGTGGGAGGGGGGGGAAGCAAAAAGCAGGACTTCCTTTGCATAGAAAGTAACTGTCCACCTCTCCCCCTGGTCACAGTTAGAGCCTTGGTTAGCAGATTGGCTCTGGCTGAGTCTTATTAATGATGCCAACACTTAAGTAATGTGCCTTTTTGATGAGAGTGGGCTCCATCACTCTCTCTCACACTCACAGACACACACACCTCCCCCTCAGTTCTCCTAATAAGCTGTCTCTCTGTCTCCTGTAATTTGGCAGATGAGTCTATTATATGATACAGTCATATTTTATTAATGGACCCCCATAGCGAACACACACACCCCTTAGTGGATGAGATTATGTGACACAGAGGGAGCGTGTCTGTGCGTTAAAAATGATTTCAGCTCCTCAGTTGGTTTTCATCTGCGCCGGTTGTCTGCTGTGTTGTTAGTATTGGGCTGGAAGACAGAACCACAGGCATTTCTGCTGAAGCTGGCACTGTTCCTCCACACTTCATTACGCTTCCATCAGCTCGGTGATAGCATGGAACAGTGCAGCTTCAAAAGGCCGAAAACAGCGGAATAAAAGACAACGTTTGGTTATTGAGTTTAACATTTCGTGGTAATATTCTTCTTGTCTCTGCCTCTCTGTCTCTCTCCCCTCCTCTGTGTTGTGCAGATAATTCATCCCATATGTTTCAGCAGTGCCAGACATTTCAAGTTCTGTGGTGAAGCAGCCTGCATGCCTCTAAAACTAATTTGCTAAAATACTACATTGCTTCAGTGATATATTACTCAACAAATTCAATATTGTTTTTGTATATCTGCAGTCATATTGTGAATTGTACATACTTTTCAATAGGCATTTTTTTCTATGGAAAAACCCTAGAATGCCAACATGTTTAGTATGTTTACTGTGTTCATCCTTTAAGTCAGTGCGTTTTCATGCTCACATTTTCTATTTAGCACTAAACATCCTGAAAGGGACACGACAGTCAAGACTGTTGGGCACAATGAATTGTTGCACAAACTATCCTGACATACCTGTAGTTGTGGAGATACATTACATGACCAAAGAAGGTGAACAGACTGGCAAACCAACATTCCTGTGGGTGGCTGTGGCTCAGGAAGTAGAACAGACCATTACCTAACTGTAAAGTCAATGGTTTGATCCCCTGCTTCTCCAGTCTACATGTTGAAGTGTCCTTGAGCAAGATGCTGAACTCCAAGTTGGTCCCAGTGATATCACCAGTGTGTGAATGGCAAAATAGTGTCAAAACCCTTTGGGTATGTTTCAGTGCATAGGAACACACTCTACAATCCTAAAGCCATGCTGCTAACAAGAAGTTAGAAAGACACAATAGCCTGACTTTATCTTTCTCTGGATTTTCTTTGTATATGATGCTGTTGATAGTGATTTGATTATATTCTGTAATATATTCTGTAATTTGCCATTTCATAAACATAATTTGTTGCATTAATCTGTCAGATTTGCTCTAGTGCCAATCATTTTTATATCTAAAATGACAAATCTGTCCCTTTGCAATTCAACTCCTGAATTACTTGATATGACCAGGTCTCTC